AATTGTTGTTGCCAACAGTATAGTTCCTGCAGGTATTTGACCAAAAAGGGGAGATACAGGAGAAGAGTGGGAAAAATGATAAATCTATGTGGTTGTCCATCAACCTGCTACTTAATGCTGCAAGTGTTTCACAAACAAACAAGGTCCTAATTTCTCCTGGATTTTATTTCTATTGATGAAAATACTCGTAATTGTGTTAGTTTCTTGGTGACGCCCTAACAGAATATCACAAACCGTGTGACTTAATCAACAGAAATGAATTGTTTCATAGTTCTGGAGGTTGGAATTCTAAAATTATATTGAAGAGATGGTTCCTTCTGAGAGATGTGAGAGAAATGTCTTCCAGAGAATCTTCTCCTAGCTTTTGGTAACTTCAGCTGTCCCTTAACTCACGATAGAATTCTTCCAGCATCTTCACATCATCTACCATCCACCAATGTTGGTCGCTATGTCCAAATTTCCTTTTTCTGTAAGTATACTGTCATACTTGATGGAGACTCACTTTAATGACATCTGATCATCTGCAAGATTCTATTTCCAAACCAAATCACACTCTTGAGTACTGGGGGTTAGGATTTTGGCATCTTTTGGAAGGACAGAAGTCCACTCATAACATTGTCAGTCTACTTATGAACTTTTAGGCAATTTTTTTATGATCTTAAAAATAAAAATAAGATATTTTAAATAGGAGATAATAGTATCTCTTCAAAATGCTGACAGGAAATATCCATCAATCTAGAATTTTAAAACTTTATAAATTGTGTGAGATACATAGAATAAATCAAATTAGAATGTTTTCAAACATATTGTTTTACACTTAGCATATATTTAAGAGTATCAAAATATATCCTTCATAACAAGAAAATTCTTGTTATACAAAACATGTCATCTAAGAGATGCAAATCACATAGAAACTTGGAAACATGTTTCTAGATCTAAATAATCATTGATCCAAATGACAACAATAATAATATTAAGGGTGATTGACTATTTAGCTTGGGATTAAAAATCAAGGTATAATTATATCTACAAACAGCAAAGACATTATAAACCAGAGGGGGTGACTGAATCTAAATGTTCTCTGCCTCTTAAATTGTTCAGGTTAAAAGAGATTGTTAGTTAAATTTGTACTTTTCAAATGTAAATGTGAACACTAAACATTTATTGTTGGAAAATAATGCAGAGGGAAACAGGTGGATTGTAAAAAACTAAACAAAAACAAAACCATACCAAATAAACCTCAGGAAAGCAAGAAATGAAAAATATAGAAGGAATAATTCAATAGCAAAAATGAAAAATGGTGTTAGATGAAAATGTGGAAATAAATCCATATATGTTAAAACAATATTGAGTATAGACTGAACTATTAAAGACATAGAATGTAAGATATAATGACAAAGAAATATAGAATATTGAGGGATATAAAATAATATTTCATTAGAAAAGAGTGTATAATAACATTCATAGGTCATCAAATATACCAATGTGAAATCTTTATTCAAAATTAAGGAACCAAGATCTTTGCCATAAATAAAGATAATCTTGAGTCTGTGGGAAAAATGGATGCACCTTGAAACCATGATGTGCAATGAAATAAATCAGACACACAGATTTAAATGTCACCTGCTTTCTCTTAAATGGGAATCCCAAATTATAAATAAAGAACAAAATAAAAGATACATAATAGAAAGTAGGGAGGCACTTTTTTCTCAAATGGGAAAAAGATCAAGAGAAGGAGCAAGTGGGGAGGGAGGGCAGGGAAGGGGACAAAGAAAGGAATTCAGGCGTCACATGTGTGTGCTAACTCCACACAAGGAATATAAACATGTACTAATGAAACATAAAAATACACATGTATAAAAACAATAAAACATTTTATCAGTAAATCAACACTCTCATCTAGATATGTTGTCTTTTAAAATATATGAAGCAAACTTTGTCAGAAATGCAAGAGAAAAATCATTAATTTTACAATTCATGGATAATATTTAATTCAATTCTGTTTGATATGTGAAGACAAGTATTATAAAGAGTATAGGAGATAGCTACAAAAAATCATATTGTTTGACACAATGAAAAGTTGAAGAATCTAAAAAGAACATGCACAGAATTTTCATGAATCTGTAAAACCTACTCCATGATGAAAAACAAAGCAAGGATATTAAAAATTCTTCATCTACTCAGAGCCACTCTGCAATTGCAATGCAATGAAACTGGAATAAATGATAAAAAATTAAACAAAATGTCAAAACATTTGAGTATATACAATCACATATTTATTTTTTCAGGAATTTAAAATGTAAATTTAAAAAATACTCTGATCAAGTTAGTGAAATCAACCTGCAATATTTTGCAGTAATCATTAACATGAATACAGTATCTAATAAGTTGAATATCAACATATTTTGGCCTCACACTTGCTGTCTGGCATTAATATATATTAATCAGTTTTAATACATTTTTTATGTTCTCAAAGAAAGAGTTCAAAAGTTTAGTATTTTAAGAATTATTTCCCCTTCTTACATTGGTGTAAATTTAGCAATTCACTATATAGAAAAGCAACATTGTTTTTAATTTGATGAAGTAACAGCATGAATGCACATCATAGATTCAAATTAAAAAGTGTTTTCCCATTAAAGAAATTGTTACTTAACATTTAAAATAGGAATAAATATCATCAGCCAGAACTCCATGATATGTTAAAACTGCAAAAAAATTATGTAACTGTCATACTTAAATATCTATTATATTTTCTGCTCAATTTCTCTGTGAAACTTAAACCACTTTGTAAATAAAAAGTTTACTAAAGTAAATAAAGCTTCACATATTAAATTTAATTTGAAATATTTAATGTTTTTGATTAATCTTTAGACTTGGAGAGACATTGTACTCAATAGGATGATTATAAAAATAGTAGGAATTATCACTGAGAATAGAACAGAAAAATTTGTTCTGAGAATCCACATTTTTACTATCATCTTAATGCACTGTGCTTGGTTAAATGAAATTATCTGCAATATTTACTTGAGGATTCTAAGGTGGAAAGTATACAACATTTTGAATCAAAATTACCAACAATTAATCTTATTTCTAATCCTTCAGTTTCTCCAACCTGATGGGAGGTAATTTTTCACAGGAGATAATTTCCTGTGATCTTTTCATCTATGACCCTCTAATTTATCACTTGTGATGCTTCCATGTTGAATGTTGTTGTTTTTTTTCCAATTATGGTGACACAGCCCAAGCTGAAATCACTTTTCTTGAAATCTTATGTCTCTTTTCAGGTGGTAAATGGTATTATATTAGGGGTCAAATACTGCTGCTATCATTTCTATGTAACCATATTAAAAGAATACCAGAGTATCTTTTATTTCATTCCATAAAGTGAAGAAATATATTAACATGTTTTCATTTATTACTGCTCAATGCTTTCAAACTATGGAGGGGGGAAGGAGGGAAGGGAAAGGGGATGAGAAAAGGAATTAAGCTGTATTATGTACATGTACCTACTCCACACAAGGAATGGAAATATCATGTACTACACACATGTACTGATACAGAAAATGATCTGAACATATAATAATTACAGGTTTGATGACGATGACAAAAGCTGATACCTTTTGAGATACTATATTAAGTTATATATTCAGAAAGGAGATCTAAAATTTAAAAAGAAAACAAAGTGAGGAAAATAAAAAAGAAAGTTAATGTTTTGTTTTGTTTTTTTGGTACTGGGGATCGAACTCGGGTCCTTGCGCTTGCAAGGCAGGGGGCGGAACCACTGAGCTAAATCCCTGGCCCTAAAAGAAGGTTAATGTTTAACTTCATATTTGCCAGCTTTCATGAAGTGGTAGCATTAAATATAGAAGGTAACTATAAATCTGGAATATCATAATTTTATATAATTTAGTCATCTCTGAATTTATCAGTTCTCCCTTAGTTTCAGACATATTCCCTCATGTTGCAACTTCAGCACATATCCCAGGGCTTACTCCTGAGATGTTCCTCCTCCTAAGTACTGGCTAATAAAGAACACACTTCTAAATTTAAAGTTTGCTTCCTATTATTCCTATGCCATATTTTAAGTCCCCCCTTCAATAATTTTGGATTTGTTAATCACTCCTCAAAGCAAAATAATGTCCATTTCAATTAAATAAAAGATCACAAGTTCAAATCCCATTATTATTGTGTTCCAAAAATAATAAAAGCAGGGGCCAGGGATTTAGCTCAGCCGTGTTGCCACCTGCCTCGCAAGTGCAAGGTTCCGAGTTCAATCCCCAGTACCAAAAAAAAATAATAATGATAAAAGCAGAGAATATTAATTGAGGATTTGGATGTACAAAAGACTGACATTTCCACATATGAACTATTCTTCTCTTATATGTATTTTTTAATTATTTCATCTTCAAAACAATGCTGATGAGCCAAATGAAGTTCAGAGCCTCTAGCTAGCCCACGTCACATAGTCAGAAGGTAGAAGACGTAAGATTTAAATCCAGTCTTTCTGTTTTCAGGAGGTGCTTGATTAAACATAACCTACATCTCTAGGAAACCTTATTTTTATAATATCCAATAGGTTACTGACACTAATAACTAAGATTCAGTAAAAGGCTGGAAAAATGAATATATCACTGAAAGAAAAATTGTTTTATGTCATACACAACTGAAATCCAAGTTTGAGGAAAGTTTACAAAATATCCAACAATTTTATTATTGGAGAAGATGTGGTTAAGAGAAAATTTATTAATTGCCCTACTGAGCCTAACAATGAATCTTAGACTGAGTCTTAGACTGAATCTTTTTTCACTCCAAGTCTCTACTCTATATCTTATAATATTTTTGATGATCTCTGCTTCAAAAATAGAATGCATTAAATGATAAAGGCTGTATCTTAATGTATACATCATATTTACCTTATAGTTGAACATATTTTGTTGCTAATTGAAGTCTGAACTGAATTAAAAGTATTATTTGTGTATTCTTTCTAAGAGTGTCTTTTTTATTTAGTTTCTTCAGTGACTAAGGTGGACATTATTCTCATTAGTATTCACTTCAGGAATTATTAACTCTTCTGTGTGACCAAGATGTGTAACTGCATCAAGTGGCACATGTTCAAGGCATGTATCTTCTAAATATTATTTCCCAGTAGCCTCTGTTTCCAGGATCTCATGACATTTGAACTGAAAAAAGTAATTTCATACATTCTCAGTAATCTAACCAATGGTGTCACAAAGATCTATAAACTAATTTACAGTTCTCAAGAATCAGATAGCTACATTCTAATATTTCTATATGTACATAAAATCCATAGAATTAGATTTTGCTTCTAACCATCACAAAATCACTGTGATATTTCATTACATATATTTTATTTCATATACTTTTTTCCCTGAAGGTACTTTGTTAATTCAAAATCTATACCATAAAGCAATGTGGTTGAAGGATAAGTAGTCAAAATGATGGCTTTTACAAAAATGCATTCCTGAGAAGATGGTCGGCTTTTTCAGAGAATAAATTCTAAAGTACTTAGTTTCTAATTATGTTATATATGAAATCACATTTTGGAAAATAAAGCAGCTGTTTTAAAACAATGTTGCTGGTGTGATGGGGCCACCTGTAATTCACCCTACTCAGAAGATTGAAGCAGGAGGGTCACAAATTAGAGGTTAGCCTGTGTGATTTAGTGAGACCCTGTCTCAAAATTTAAAACAACAACTGCAACAATGGAATGGGCTGGTCTGTGGTTCAATGGTCAAGTGCCTCTGGGTTTTTTTATTCCCAGTACTACAAAATAAAATATAATTGAACAAAAACAATGTTAATTTCTACTAGCACGCAGCACTCATATCTCTATGCAAATAAATTAGAGACAAACAAATATAAAATGCTCAGAGCTAGTATAATCTAACTCAATTTCCAAACTATGTGAGAGGATATATAAATTAAAATAATTAGTGAAGAGGGCATAGAGAGAATAGTACTAAAGATTAAGAAAACATGGATACCTAGAACAACATGAAATAAAATAGGGAACTTTAAACAATCAGAAAGAACAAAATAAACTTTCAATGGTCAAGATGTATATTAGGAAATAAGAGTAAGAGGCCCGTGAATAATGCAGAGTTTCAGATAAATGTACAGGAGATGTTACTGACTCAGGAAGATGTAGGAGTTTGGTAGTGTTTCACTGTTACCAACCTGAAGATGGAACAGATACAAAATTCCATGAGAGACAGGGTATGACAGGTCACGAAAGTTGCACGTATGACTGATCACTTGGGCCTGGAGTACAGGCAGTGAGACCAAAGAAGAGGTATCTTCAAAACTTTTTTCTAAGATACTGTTAAGTCATATTTATACCTTAAAGAACTGCACAGGTTACCTCAAGAGCTACAATGTCTTCAACAGGAGATGAAAAATTAATGAAACAGGCAGTTAGCATTGCAGATTTTTCAACATTTTGTATCTTTGAACTCAGTTAATGAAAATACCATAGAAGGAATAATGCAGCAGAAATTTTAGCATATGTTTTTAAATTTAGCTATAATGAATATATATTTTTAATATCACTTAAAGCAAATACTTCTATGAGGTAAAATGTGTGTAAAACTTTGACAACTCAGCTACGATAGTAAATGATGGAAAACTAGAGATGGCACGATTGCTTCATAATTTGCTTTAATAGTTTTATTTATACAGTTTCTTAAGTGAGACCTGAAGAAAGAGTGCTGATTAAAGAATAGTGTCTTAGGAAAGACAGAGGGGGATGATAAGATTGAAATTGATTAAGTTGTCAATTTAATAAGTGGAACAAAAGGTCCAGCTAAGAAAAAAGTATCATGATTGCTCCTTCACACTGGTGAAGGAGAAGCTTCTTTAACCAATGTGCTGATTCAAATGCTAATCTCCTCGAGAATCATCCTCACTGCATACCCAGAAGTAAAGTTTTAGCAAATATCTGGTCATCCTTCCCAGAGTCAAGTTGACAAATAAACCACCCCATGACAAAGACAAAGAGAATATAAAGAAGAACATGGATGCATATTTCATTGTGTGATATAGGTTAAACGCAAAAATAAAACTCCTACTCAGCCTCCTGTTGTGATTTTCTAACCCCATATTATCCCTCAAGTTCAGAATTCAATTGCTTGTTTCCATTTTAGGGCCTATAAAAACTACTTAACAATGTTCTGTAAGGAAAAATATGCCATTTAGTTATTTAACCACAAGAAAAATAAATTTGAGCATAACTATGCCCCATCTTAATCTATCCAGAAGTAAAAATTGAGTCAACTTTAGAGGAAACTCTTCATAAATATACTTTTCTTCACAGAAGTCTGGTCATTCTCAGTTTCCCCATATTACTTTAGAGTTAAGAGTCCAAAAAACATGATGAAAATTCAATGACATCCTGACCCAAACCAAATTTTTCCCTTTCCAAATTCTAGCCTCTATAATTCTAATAATATTTAAAGAGTTTTGAGGAACTTATATGACCGAAAGATGAGTCAAAGTATTAGAAACTTATTTTTAAAGGATAGTACAATTGTTCTTTGAAAAATTAAAGTTATTTCAGAATTTCTGTAGTGATAGTTAACATTTTCTTATACAATGAGAAATCAATCACTTATCTCAAGAAAAAAAAAAAAGACATACCACCCAAAAGGAAATAGTCTAACTGTGACAAGAAGCATTGAGGCAGAAATACTACCAAATTTTTTCCTGTAATTTCTCCAAAAGTTTACTTGTAATTGTTCTTATGCAAAATGACACCAATATCAAAATACGATGTTAGTATATATTTGTATGAATTCTTATCAGCTCCTCTGTTTCTCTACCTACAGCCTTCTTAGATCTCTCTATGAATTCTGTAGGTTACCCTTCAAATTTTATTTTGGAATTGACAATATTATTATGTTAACACAGCTTCAAGAAACCTTATATGAGAGCTGCGGGTTTACCTCAGTGGTTCTGCTGCCTGCCCCATAAGCGCAAGTACCCAAGATCGATCCCCAGTCCCCCCCCCCAAAAAAGAAACGTTATATGAAATATGCATGAGAAACAAACCTTTTTCTTTGAGGCATTCAAAGTTATCTTCAAAGTGACTTTTAAAAATCTACAAACCCTAGGGAATGATTGAGTTTTTCTTGTTGGAAATTAAAGTAGTTTAATACCCAAGAGGCATTATTGACACATTAGCTATGTTGAGATATGTTCAAGGAGCAAGATAACTTTACTGAATTAATCAATTTATAGAAATCCCATTAACCCATTGGGGGAACTTCAGAGTATTGTATAGAAATAGTTCGTGGGAAGGTAAAGGGACACAAAAATACTTCATTAATATCAATATACATGTTAAGATGAAATATCAGTCTTGTTTAAGAAACAATAGGAAACCAATAAAAAGCAGCCTTATGCATTTGATTGATGAAAATATTCAGTAGGAAATTTTGAAGTTATAGTAATAAAAAGAATCTTTATAATATTATAAGTTAAAAATAGATATAGTAAAAAGTAAGTCTAAATAGATTTTAAATATAGTTATTATAGAACATATTTTCAATATTTTCTTTCTATAACAGGATGAAGTTAGAAATCAATAAAAGAAGGAAAATTAGAATATTCCAAAAATTTTGAGCTCAAATAACATACTCAAATCAACCAATGAATCAAAAAAGAAATCAGAGAATTTAGAAAATACTTACAGATGAATTAAAACAATACAAAAAAATCCATACAATACAAAAACTATGAACACAGTGAATTGCTGGGAGAAATTTACAGAAGAAAGATTTCAAATCAATAATCTACATTTAGAAGTGAGAAAAACAACAACAAATTAAACCCAGAGGCAATAGATAGAATGATTTAACAAAGATCAGAGATAAGTAAAATTGAAAAAAATAGTGAAAATGAATGAGACAAATAATTAATTCTTCATCAAAATGAACCAAATGACAAGCTTTTATCTAAATTGACTAAAAAGAGACTAAAATTACTAAAATCATAAATAAAAATGAAGGTATTACTATGGAAAATTTTATGTAATCAGCTGAGATAAATGGATACATTTCTAAAATATAAAATCTAGCAAGGTTAAGATTCATGAAGAAACGAAAATTTAAATATAATTATTTGGAATATTGGAGCAGTTAACAAAAATCAATCAACGAAGAAAAATCCTGGATCTGAGGGCTTTCTTGGTGAATTACACTAAATATTTAAAAAAGAACTAACATTAACTCTTCTCAAGTATTTCCAAAAGATTGAAGAAGAAATATTAAATTAAGTCAGCATTATCTTGCAAGAAAAACAGGACAAAGACACTACAGAACAAGACAACAAGTCAAGAACTCTATAAAAACTGATATAAAAATCTTCTACAATATACTAGCAAGCTGAATGCACTAAAATAGTAAAATGACATAGTAGTATTCATTCTTGGTAGCCAAAGTTAATTCATTCTATGAAATCAATGTAACATACCATATTAACACACTGAAAGAAGGAAAAACATGACTGTGTCAACAGAAGTAGAAGTAATAAAGCACCAGACAAAATGCCATCTTTTCATAACAGAAAATACTCATCAAAACAAAAGATAAATCTACTTCAGCACAATAAAATCCATATATGAAAATCCAACAACAAACTTCATAATTACTGTTGAAATATTGCTATCTTTTTTTCTCTAAGGTCAGGAACGTTAGTGTTTAAATCTAGTATGGACACTTCAATGTCTCATGTGTTTTTAAGGTGATCAGATCATGGCAGTGACATAACTCATGAGTCGATTCATCTATTGATGAGCTTAGTGGCTGAATGAGCTGTTAGAAGGAGAAGCCTGATTAGAGGTGGGTCACTGGGGGTATGACATAAAAGTATGCATTCTTGTCCCCCTTTCTCCTTTTTCTTTTTGCTCCTAGGCTGCTATGTCATGCCTTTCTGGCATGCTGTCTCTGCCTTGGAGCCAACCACCATGGACTAAATTCTTTGAAAACTGTGAGCCAAAATAAATCTCTCTCCTTAAATCTTGGGTGTCAGGGATTTTTGTCCCAGTGACAAGAAAGCTAACTAATACAAGGAACTAGGAAAGAATGCACATTTTGCCATGTCAATGAAGTACAGTAATTCTAAGCAGAGAAATAAGGCAAGACAAAGAAATAAAATATATCAT